TGTCCACCAGTGGTGAGAGCTTTGCAGAGCCCGGAGAGAAGTCTGCACTTTACATCCAAGCAGAGATGACAGAAGCAACAAGCCTGAATCTGGAAGACAACACATCAGGGGCCTAAGAAATGTGCAGAAGGGGGGTGAAAGGCATGCTCTGACCAGCAGGAGAGTCATGAGTGTGAGGCCATCTGGGGAAAGAGGGCAAAGTCAGAGCAAAGGCCCTGGGGTTCCTTCTGTGCACATCTGGGCTGTGTGGCTCAGTGGGGTCCTTGCTCACCAGCTAGGTGAGTGGAGCTGTCACCTCACTCCTGGTGCTGAAATGTGCAGCCAACAAAACAGCTGCCTAGAGGTGGGGGGGGGCGGAGGGGGATGGATCAAGAGGCCTTTGAACAACTCCACAAAAAGAATTGTTTAGGAGTATACTCCAAAGCAGAGGAGGGGGCGGGGAGAAAGGATAAGATGCCCACTTATTTATTTTTTAGTGTGATTAGCAGCTTCCAGCTTAGTGACAGGACCCAATGTGACTTGAAGGGACGTAAACACGTTCAAGGAAGGAAGACGGCAAATGAAGCAAGGATCAACCTCATGGAAGCCGGGTCAGACTGCCTTTGTGTCCCGTCCCTACCTTCAGGCCACGGGAGCCCATGGGGTCCAGCCTTTAAGTCCGGGTTCTTTCTTGGTCAAATGCAAGTAAATAGCTTGCTGCTCTTCCCTCTCCTGTGGTTTAAAATTGTGAGCAATGCTTTAGTTACATCCAGGCGCAGCTGAAGCGAACACATGTGGTTGCTAGCCTTCTGCCTTTAGCCCCTGATCTGCAAGGCAGCGGTGGGGGGAGTGGCATCCGCGCTGTGCTCACCCTAGTTTCCAGGTCTACTATTCTGTGACTGCCTTCAAGACTCAAAAGAAAGGAGCCACATGGATACTCTATGAAGTGATGTCACACCTGTGCCCATCACCCTAGCCCTGGCCCTCATGTGGGGACAGCCTCCCTCCAACACAGGCATGATCTTTAAGTTCTCCCAAAGTCAGACTATCCCCAGAGAACCCTGCACAGAGCTATGAGGTGCAGGATTTCCACAATATGACTGACAAAGCCAAGTGCCCAGGCCCCCACACAGTGCCACTCATTTCTAATATTAGCAGCCGAGCACCCGGGAAAGAGGAGCTTTTATTTTTGGGGTGAACAAAAGCAGGCACTAAAAATGTATGTGGGGCTACTGTGCTCCCGGTGCAGGTGACACAGATAGCGGAGGAAACCTGTGTGCTCAGCTATCCTCAGGCAGATGGATGGGGAGTTGGGTCTAGTTGGAAATGTGATGTGCTCATAGAAACAGTGGCCTCGCTCCCTTGTGTGAACAAGGGGGAAAAGAAAATAAGGGAAATCATGCAGAGTTGTGTAAAGTGTCCCACCGGATCACGAAGTGTTAGGCAAGAGAAAGGTTGCAGTGCTCGTGCAATGGCCCGACACGATGTGTAAACCTGGTCATTGTGTGACCGACGGTACAGCCGTCCAAGGAACCACAGATGCATCGCTTCCAACTCACTGGTGGCATGGAGCATGTGAGCTGTCATCATCCAGCCGAGGCTGAGTGTATGGAGTAGCTGGACAAGCCACGTCGGTATTCGGTGCTGTGCAGAGGTGGATGGAAATGGGGAAATGCAGAGATGCCACCAGAATCACCAGAAGCAGGGTTAGAATGTGGCACCCTGAGTGAGAGGTGGTTCTTCCTGCCACTTCCGTCTACACCGTGAGCTGCCCCATCGTGGTCAGGAGCCCTGGCTTGCAAAGAGCAAAACATGGGCAAGGTACTGAAACACCCAGGTGCCTCTCAAGCCCAGAAAAATGCCTCTCTCTTTAAAAATAACTTGATGAATTTGGTAACCTTTCTCTTGACAAGAGGAATCTATTTGCAGAAAGAGTGACAGGGACTGAAGAATTGAAAAGTATAGAAAGCTAAGACTCAGGGAGAGAGCCCATTACCACTGCAATCAGTATTTGTCTCTATTGAACTTGCTTTATATTTATTTATTTTCCGAAGACTTTGATTCCAGAAAAACCATGCCGGGTGTTGCAATAGCAATGAGAAGAAAATGGGCCCCATTTAGTTCTTCTTGCCTGGCAGCTAGTTTTTGCTGACAATTCTCAAGTTCAGTGTTCTGAAACCACAGCTGAGTGATCATTATCTTCTTAAGTCTCTGCCATAGAGAAAATAGGGCAGGTCCCATACCCCGATGCGGAGCTGTTTCTCTGTGGGTACTCACTGACAGACTCCTGCCCTTTTTTAGTTCATTAGAAAAAAGTCTCTGGACTATTTGTCTCTGCCTTAAAACCATCTTGCTTTGCATGGATTTTTTTGTGTGCCATGTCTCTCCTCCCTCTTCTAAGAATCACCGGAAGACATTAAAATGATATGAGGACCTTGTCTCTGCTACAAGCTCCCACTGTGTGAATAAAAGCCTGACTTTGCTACCAGCACCCACTGTGTGAATGAAAGCCTGTCTCTGCTACAAACTCCCACTGTGTGAATGAAAGCTCCGGTTGGGGCAGCCCCACCCCCCCACACTTCCTAGGGCCCACCTTACACTCTACCTGATGTCATCTGCTTTCCTGTGTCCCTTGCTGGACTCCAGGCTCCAGGTGGGCCCAGAGCTGTGCCTGTTCCTCTCTGTGTCCCCACCTAGATCTCCTGGGACACCATGACCTCTCATTAAAGATCTGCTGACCCGTCTGTATTGAATGTCTGCATGGCTGTTGCTCAGTTTCCTTTTAATTTTGTTTTATGTGCTTGCTTTTGGATATTCTCTGTTAGATAGCTTTTGCTCTTGAGTCCTGTCTTTTAACATCGCTAGACTTTTAGACTACAAAGAGAGGTCTTCTGGTTGCACAGCCTAATGATTTCTGAGAAGTTATTAAAAGGACCATGTCTTATGAAAATTATTTTCATGAAAGAAATCCAATCATTTTCTCCCACTTGCTAATTAAAGATATTTCCCCACATATACTTTAATGCAACTGCTTTCTTCAAATTGGAAAAGCAACAAAACCTCATGACTCCTTGTATTTGTTTATGTTGTAATGTATACAAGTTCTTATACACTGTATCATATACATTGTAATAGATACACAATCACATTCTGACACCACACCAGTGGTGCAAGACTGATGGTGCAGACACCAACATCCAGCCTTACTAAAGAAAACAATCAGGGTCCGAGGAAAATGGAGCTATTTTCCCTGAGGCCACCAAGCTAGCTGTGAGGTTGGTCAGTGCCCAAGGCCTTTCAACTCTTTGCATTGCGATAAGTTGGATTGTGCTATGTAATTATGCCTGTATAGACAGCAGCAATAAGCAAGAGAAAGACTATGATACAAAAGTGTGAGCACTAATTAATTGCTAGTGTTAATGAAGCCAAAGCTGACGTTATTGAGAAGAAGCAGCTGGAGAGATGAGCTATGTACCCCCTAGGCAATTTTGTGTGTGTTGTTCTGTGAGAGCTAGAAGCAAAGAGGCACATTGTATTCTTATGAGAACACCTGGACAATGAACAAGGGAGGCCCTTTTCTCTGATGCTACAGTTATTTCAGCCTGGCTGAGGCATCCTCTATCTGACAGCTGTTAAAAGACAGAAAAAAATGAGAATGAAGTTTTGTGTAATGGTCTATGAACATTAAAAAAAATCCTACAGCTTAAAAAAAAATCCTACAGTTACCAGGCACCGGTGGCTCACGCATGTAATCCTAGCTACTCAGGAGGCTGAGAACTGAGGATCACAGTTCAAAGCCAGACCAGGCAGAAAAGTCCCCATGAGACTCTTATCTCCAATTAGCCACTCAAAAACCAGAAGTGGCATTGTGGCTCAATGTGGTAGAGCGCTCACTTTGAGCAAAACAGCTCAAGGACAGGGCCCAGGCCTTGAGATAAAGCCCCACAACTGAAAAAAAAATCCGACAGTGACTTGTTGTCTCTAGTTTGTCAGCCATTCCTATCTCAGCTGTGAATTTAAACTAAACCCAGACTAGAATCCTGCCAGAGTCGGCTCTTTGTTCTTCTCTTGAATTCTGATTCATCTTGAAATCAAACCAACTCATTTAAAAGGCAAAAAAAAGGGGGCAGAAGAACAATCACATCTGGATTTCCACTGAGGCTTATATGTGCTCCTGGCCCCATCTCTATTAAGAAAGCAAACATATATTTCTTTTCCTTAATGAGCTTTTGGGAGTGGACAAAAATGTTGAGGAAGAAAAGTGGACTCTTTTAAAAAGGATTATGGAACTTTCCTGTGGTATTTTCTGTAGTCTTGTATTAAAAATAGAAAATGGTTAAGATAGCCTTCAGGTTAACTTTGTATTTGTTCTTCCATTGGAAATAATACGCCATCTTAGAAGTCAGTTTGATAGTAAGTGGTTCCATAGTCATTCGCCAAAGGTATGCAGAGAGCCCTGGGTCTGTGGTGAATAATGGTAAAGAAAGCAAGGATTCTTGCTCTGAAAGAATTTACAATCTAGGAGAGAGAAGGTCAAGGAATATATGAATGGATGGATGGATGGATGGCTGGATGGATGGATAGATGGATAGATGGATGGATGGATGGATGGATGAATGTTTGAATGGATGGGTGGATGGATGGATGAATGGATGGATGGAGGATGGATGGGTGGATGGATGAATGGCTGGCTGGATGGATGGATAGATTGATGGATGGATGAATGGATGAATGATGGATGATGAATGGATGGATGGATGGATGGATAGATGGATGAGTGCATAAGTACATTAATGAGAGACAATGTGGGATTGGAAAGCTGAGTTTGATGGGAGACCTTGAACTCTGTGCTTAGTCAGCACCTTTTTTGCTTCCTAGTGATGAAATGACTAGGGAGGAAAGACCCTCCCCACAGCCAGAGGCTCTGTCTGGGTGTGCTCTCTTCAAGGGGGGATGGTCAGAGACATGGGTGTAGTTTCAAGTGGAGAAAATAACCGTGTGTTGCTTTGTTTTTTTTCTAGGAATCTTGGGAAATCAGGCCTCAGAGTTTCTTGCTTGGGTCTTGGTAAGTACTTGGGTGTGGCGTAGAGGTGGTCTGGAAGGTGGGAGGGTGAGGAAGGGCCAGGAAGAGGTGTGGGGCAGGGGAGGGAGCCGCCTGAGGTGAGGAGAATTCCTGGCCAGCACCAGTGCAATTCCCTCCCCTACACTCCCTTTGTCTGTCCACACAGCCCTCTGCCTCTCTGGACAGAGGAGCCATGGCGTTCATGGTGCACAGAGGGGTTTGGAGGAGGGGCTTTGCACCTCACTGAGCAAAAGGGACGGCATGGGAAGTGAAGGGTAAACAAAGGAGTAGGCTGCAATGCTTGGTAAGAAATGTACGCGTTATCCTGCCCATGTAATTGTAACCCCTCTGTACAGTATGTTCACAAATTAAATTAAATTTAAAAAAAAGGGACGGCATGTGCGCACTCACCCCTCCCTCAGTCCACTGCGATTGCCCACCCATCACGTTCCTGCCATCTAACTTCTGGTATTGTTATATATGTTATGTGCTTTTTATATCCTGCCTTACATTCTTAGGGGGGAGTAAAGTGAGGTAAATACATACTTATATACATCTATATATAATTAATTAAATGCAAATTATTGTTCATAGGGCCTGGGGTAATGTACTTGCCTTTCATTGGCTAGACCCTGGGTTTCACCTCCAGCACCACACCAAAAATTTATTTGTTCTAGAAAATGCAAATATTTAAAGAACAGTGAACAGACATGACAATTTTGAAAGAGCAAGGAGAAATCCAAAATAGTGTCGTCTGGGTAGGAGACATGCGAGCGCACAGAGCATTCAGCCATTCTCCAGACACCGGGGTTTAGGCCATTCAGCACCACCTCCCCCCCACACCCCCGCAGGTGCCCAGGACTGTGCTGTCAGCTAAGAGAGTCCAAACCAGTGCAGGAGATGAGGATGTGCTGAGAAGTGGGCAGATGATGTCTCCCCTTCACACAGGAAACCCAGATTTCCTCCTGCACGTTATGTGAGATGAGAGATAAAGAGAACAAAGTCCAGGGTGACACTAAAATTGTTTGAGCAGAAGAGAAAATGGATGTGACATTGATCGAGATGTGTGTACTCACAAGCTGACACACTGAATTGAGAGCCCTCTGTACATTACTTACACACAATCAAAACAGATAAGCTGACACATGAAGTTGGAATACCTAGTGGATGAGATGTGGAAGGAGGGAAGAGAGCTTTAGGGAGGAGGGGGACTGGGAGATGACTTTTGGATATATTAAGAAAACAGAAAAGGTTGTCAAGTAAGTCAATGGACTTTTTTAAAGAAGCGATCTTGGTTGGATCCAGAAACTCTGGGTCCATTAGCACAAGGACGCTTTCTAAACCATGACACACTAAGATGAGACCTCATAGAAGTGAGTGGAAAGCTGAGGAACGTGAGCCAAAAATTGAGAAAATGATGAGGATTCAGCCAAACAGCAGGGAGGAGGCCACCCATCTGCTGACAGCTGCTGGTTAAGTCTGGGAAGATGCAGGCCCGGAACTGGCTGTCAGGGTTAGGAACGTGGAGGCGCTGAGGACTTTGAGCAGATGGGTTTCAGTGGAGAAGCAGAGCACAGAGCTGGATAGGCTCAAGGGAGAATGGACAGAAAAGCTCGAGGCAGCTCTTCTGATGATCACTTGAGAAGAGCAGAGCAACAGAGAGCCCTGAGCAGGCCGGGTGCTCAGAGAAGTTCCCTCCACGTGTCAAAGCAACTTCACATGTATATGCTGATGGAGGGGGAATCTTTTCAAGAAGGAAAAAGGTGACTATCTGGGGTGATTTCTCCAGGGTACAGGAGAAGGCAGCAAGGCAGATGGCAGTGCCATGGTTTTGAACAAAGCCAGTGGGGACGGAGGGTGGCGGTGACCACACAGGGTCCTTGTTGAGCTGTCCTGTTGCTGCTGTACTCTCACTGGAAATCAGAGATGAGGTCAGCAGCTATGGTGCGGAAGCACTGTGGTATTGGACGTCTGAAGAGGGGAGCAGAGGCTGAATGGCCCAGGGAGTGTGCCCTGTGGCAGCCTGGACCACTTATGACTCGTGACAATACGTGTGAAGGGAGACCATCCCGTCTTCTCCAGCCCTGATCAGCTACGCGGCCTCGGGAGAGGTTTCAAGAAGAAGGAGAGGGAGACAAAGTTGAGAGTTTCTATAAGGCAGTTAGTATGGCGATGGCCTTTGGAATTTCCCTGAGGAGGGAGAAATATAAAGAGTGGAGTCAGGAGCTAAAACGAGAACGCGAGAGCTGGTAAGAAGTGGTTAGGATCAATAAAGGATCCATCCCAGAGGGCTGGAGGTGGGCGCGGGGCGGGAGGTGGTGGCGGGGGGAGAGAGGGAGGAGGGAGAAGGGATGCTGGAAGGGAGATGTCTGATGTGATGATGGGGGAGGTTGGGTGACTGGCAGTGACAAGTCGAAGTGTGTCTGTGGGCGTCTGTGACGCAGGCTGTACTGAAGATGAGGGGCAGAGAAGGGGAGGTCGAGGAACTGGCAGGTGGGGTACCTGCAGGTAGGGTACAAGAAAGGGCCATCTTCAGCGTCACCGAACCCCACAGCGAGCACAGTGCCTGAGAGTGACCACCAACAGGAGACAGAATGTTCCAAGAGAGGAGGTGGGGATCAAAGAGAGGAAGTGAGGTTCAAAGCCGGTGTGTGTGGGAGAGCTATCTCATGACATTGACAACTGTCAGACTCTTCCCCCCATGACTCAGGGCTCACTGTGAGTCCAGGACAATTTCACTCCCATTTCATTCATGGTTCTGTTCTTATTTGAAAACCCCTTGAGATTCATTAGCAGGGAATAACCTGACCCTGAGTTGTGGTTCTTCTTTCGTTTTCTTTTTTTTTTTTAAACAATGTGTAATCATTTGCTATTTATTGCTGAAAGAAAATGAAAAGACAGCATGCATTGATAAAAACATAAAGTAAGAAATATAGTGGAAAAATTATTGGCTAGCCATCTTTGGGTTGATTCTGAGTCAATCAATCAAAAGCCTCTATGACTACAGCAAATTCCAAGGCCTGCGGAATTCTGTGGGTGAAAGAGTCTCCAAAGACTGCAGCTTGGTTGTTTGTTTTGTTTGTTTCTTTTTGAAAGCCAAGGTTTGTATGCTGTGTGGGTGTTTTTGTGAACTCTGAAGCAGACTTGATTCTGAAACAACTAGCTCTTATTTAAGCTGCCTGTTTCTCTGAGAGCCTGAATACTCGTGATAAGATGCTTCGTGAAAAGCTGGAGGAGCAAGGCCTTCATTGAGAACAGGGAACAAAGCTTGACAGCCTAAAAAGGCACCTTGGAGAGCTCCTCTGAGCAGCCTGGGTGAGGCAGTGGAGACTGAACACCCAGAGAGAGCCATGCACCTGTCTTAGGTAATTCTGCATGTTCCGTAGACCCCAGCTGTTGGAAGCAGGTGACACTGGACTGGCTGCCCCTGGATTGGGTGTCAGTGCAGTCATGACCCAAGTTCAATGAAGGCGTCAGAAATTAGCAATTAAAACTCACACATTGTGCAAGGCCTCTGCACTTTTGATCATATAAAATAATATTCATCAAAATGAAAATAAAAACTCCCAAGCAACCCTGCCACTGGGGTCTTGTGCCTGTCAGCTTAGCTATTCAGGAAGCTAAGATCTGAGAATCAAGGTACAAAGTCAGCCCAGGCAGGAAAGTCTGAGAGAATCTTATCTCCAATAAAACACCATAAATAAATGAGTAAATAAAGCCAGACTGGAGCTGTGGCTTTGGTGGTAGGCTTGAGCAAAATAAGCTCGGGACAGCAACTAGGTTTTGAGTCCCCGCCCTAGGAACAGCATCAATAAACAAATACATAAATAAATAAATGAACCCTGCAGCAGTCAAGATCGCACAGTTGTAAATACTTTGAAGGTCATAATAAAAGCTAACAGTTCGGGTGTTCTTTGATACCAGAGAAAGAGCAGCTAGGAGAGCCTTACCCTGCCAAGTTGTCTCTGCAAGCAGGTGCAGAAAGGTGAAATAATTTGAGAGTGAGCTGATTATATTTCTGAAGAAATGCAGCTGTACCAAGGGAGCAGGGGAAGCAGCCAGCCCCATGTGTGTGTGGCCATAGCCAGGTTGCTGTGAATGCTCAGGGCCTGCTACAAGCAACCTGCGCAGTCAAAGAAACTGGCAGGGAGAGAAACACCCCAGAGTTGAGCCCCAGTCATTTCCTCCTCTCCGTGGGAAGGGAGAGTGGGATTTGTGTGTGCCTTCACTACTAAGGACACATGTGTGCAGGAGACTTTGCGCTGGTTCTGGGAGAATGCTGAGATGAGACAGGGAGCAGCCACTCTGTTCACTCGTGGGGTGATGAACTGAGTGGTACTGCAGGCGGTACCTAACTTCTGTAAGAGAGCACAGGGAAGCCAGGTGGGGAAAGGCTCCTGGGGACCTTAGGAGAGACCCACAGCTAGGCACAGCTGGGCCGAGACTGGCAGGAAGGAGTCAGGGGCAGAAGGAGAGGAACACTCTGGAGAGCCAGGAAGGAGGGAGGGAGACCCCATGGGGTGGGCTGGGGGGCTTATCATGAGCATAGGGTGGAGCCAGTGCCCAGAGTTCGGTGAGGCTGGAGTAAGCCGGCCTAGGCCAGGACCCTGGTTTGCCTAGCAGAGGCATCTAGCTCTTAGCCGCATACCAAGCTCCAAGATCCGATCTTGGGAAAGGCTGAGAGGTTGAGGCAGAGCCAAGCATCATCCATTCCTCCTCCCTCCTCGTTCAGTTTCCAGCAAAGCAGCTACTTTAGCTCTCCCCAGCTTTTCCCTAACACCAGACTATATTTTTTTGCAGAAGCTTCATGGTATAACACAGCTAAGAAGGAAGCAATCTCCCACTCTCTGTCCTACACCGCCCCAACTCCCTGGGCCAGGGTTCACCTTTGTGTCGGCATGTGTTCGTGCTGCTTTATGTGTTCAGGGAGTTGATGCGTGTATTGGTGACAACATCACACATAGAAGTATAGTCCTGCCACCTGGATCCCCTTTGTTCTGCCT